GCAGTTCAATATTTTCTAGTGAACGCTGCAGAGATAGAAGTACTCTTTCCGATTATATAAATACTCGTCAATTTTTAAGGATAATGCAAACATTCAATCCAACTTGTAAAATTTGTACCTAATTGAAATTAAAAAAACTTTCAAACTTATGTTGTTGACTGAATCTGAATTAAATTACTTAACGTAATTCAAAGATTTTGATTTTATATATTGACATTTATATTATAAGTTATAAAATGCAGATTACTTTGCAAATTTGTTTAAAAAAAAACCGAAAAAGAGAAAAAAAGGGAAAAAATAGAAGTTCTTTGTGATTTTTATTTTATACTTTTATTATAGAAAATATTAAAATTTTTTCCTATTGAAGTTCCATCTTCTCAAGTTTGCATTTTACACTTTGCAAATCGCGATAAGATAATATTTCTTCATTTATCGAAAATATTAATTGTATAAACCGTAGCAGAGTAAATATCAAAATAGTCATTAACGTTTGCGCGCGGTTTGTAGTAATTATAACGCTTGCATCTCGTATTTACCGTAAGTAAGGTTGGCCGCATCAATCTTCTTGGAAAACAATCAGTTCGCAATTAGTCCTTCTGAAATGCTGCCATATTGCATCTAGGCAGCCGTACCTATTTTGCCTACTTCTACGTATCCGTCAGGTTACATCGCTTTCTGTAGACAGTAAATGGTGCATTTACACAAGTCATTTATCACGTGATATTTAGCTTGGCAGCGTTTCAGTTAACTTTGAAATTTAAGTCCATACTCCGGAATATTATTAACGGTTTAGCAACGTGTCATTTATCAAATCGCTTAATGGTAAGTATTAATCTTCTCTTCTTCGGTGGGCAATAATATGAAAATGGTATTACTTCGTAGTGTGTAGTTCATATCGTTGTTATTTATTATTAAGTTCTATGGTGAACATTAGAATTTGATGATCCGCATGATTATAGCTGTTTTGCACTAATCGTATAATCATTAGTCTAAATCAGCTCATTTCACTATGAATGGTCGACGATACATAGAATATAGAAGGTACTCGCATAAATCGAATAACAATAATATTTTGTATTTACGAATATTATGTCTATACAATTTCAATATTTTATTACACAAAAAAATTAAATAGCTACTTTCCTTTTATATTGTATAATAAAAATAAAATTTATTTTATATTTTTATAGTCTCTTCTCAAAATTTTCAATTTTTACATTTGTGAAGTATATCTACTGATTTGATTTATGTTGATTTCTGAACTATAATATATTATCGTTTACATATGTTCTATATATCAATATTGATATCCCCACAGGTATATACAACAATAATATTGACATCTTTCTATGCGTATAGAGATATTCTAATTATATACTCGTCATTCACCTACATCGCGCTTAAACGCAACCACTCGAGAATTTCCTCGCAAAGGGAATCGTTCAACGATAATGATTAGTCTTATGAATAATAAACGGCGAATTACGCGCGAATCAATCAGCAAATTACATCTATTGTTCAAATGTAAATATTATTTCGATCGAAATTAGTTCAACAACTTTGGTGTGGCAACGATCAATCTTTGCTCTATCAAAATGAAAAATAGATTATCGAATAACATATCGATATATCAAAATAAGGTATCTTCCAAAATACTCAAAGATATCTCGTCGAACATTTGATTTACCATTGTTTATTTTATTTCTCGCCGACAAATCGGATCGATCTCACGATCAACTCGTTACACGTCGTTACACGCAGTCGTTGCTACATCTTTCTTCCCGATCTACTTTTAGTAATTGAACGCTGCTTAAGGCATCATTCGACATCCACCCCACAAAAAGCCTCTCTCTTGCCAATATCTCACCGACGCCGATGCGTCCGCACGACATCCCGCTAAGCGGCGTCCGCAAAAGCTGCCGTCGGTGGTTTCTACGAGTTTTTAGCCTGTCTAGATCGATAGGAACGCCCGAACCAGTGTCGAAGGGGCTGTCGGGAGGATGGTATGAGGAAAACGTAGGGAGGGTAGAATGGGTTGAGAAGTGGTGGACGCCACTTTGTGCTGCATCGACATGAATTTGTATCCCTCCGGAGCTGCCGGCCACCATTCTCACTTCTCTTTCTCTCACTACCGCGGTTCTCATCGACGCAACCCGATCTCTTTTTCTCGTTTCCTCCCCTCTGTGCGGCCCTTCACCGCCCTCATCCCGCGTCATCCCGCGCCGAAAAGCTTCGGCAGTCCGCGGAACCCAGCCATCAAGTAAAAATACATCACGTTCGGCCGATCCCAAGAGCGAGTCGACACCCCGAATATCAAGAGCGATCCTTTCAGATCAACGTGCCATCGGTTTAACGATTTTCCTTTTTGTCGCTTTAGCTGCGCAGGTGATTTTTAAAGCGACCTTCGGGAACGGTGACAGTAACACGCTCGGGGTTTTTTCACGTGTCACGTATTTGCTCATGCGAGCGTACTCGCTGGCCGCAGGCGTGCCTGGACTTTATCAAACGATCTGCGCTAATGTATCAAGTTATCTTGGCATATTCAGTTCTATTTAATTGATATACGAGACAAATGTGTCACTACGAATAATTTTAAAACATAATTTTGACAAGTTCCAGTCGTTCCGAAAATTTTTTTCTAAATGTTAGCATCTAAAAAAAGGTGTCTCTTTTATAAATATATATTTCTCTCCTTATATGCAAAAAAAAATCGTAGCTGAAATAATATTGAATATTATCTTCACAATTAATTGTTGATCGCCAGTGATAGAATTTTATACAAATAATAAGATGCAATTTAATTCGACCAAAAACTGGCTATTCATTTATTGAAAATAAGTACACACTACGTTTCGACCCACATTATGGTCCTTTTCCAAGTGCTAGAATACAAAAAAAATAATTAATTATGTATTTTTGTATTCTAGCAGTTAAAAAGGACCACAATGTGGATCGAAACGTAGTGTGTACTTATTTTCAATAAATGAATAGCCAGTTTTTGGTCGAATTAAATTGCATCTTATTATTGAATATTATGTTTGTTATTTCTCAACTATGGTTCTCGTAGAGAAGAATAATATTTTTGTTAAAGTTTTTTTTAGGAAAAATTATTATAAAACATTAAAAAAATGATGAACGCCACAAAGAGCGAACGATCTTTCTAATATACTATTTGGAACGAACAAATATGTGTCGTGCATAAATTCTAAAAAATTTCTCTTTGTTCTGGAACGTGATAAATTCTTACGCTATATGTATAAAATGCACGAGTTTAATAGCTGCATAGCAAACACATTCCCTACATCTCAACGTAAACCGATGTGATTACGCCCGTGTACATATGCGAGTCATGCACAACTGCAGAATTCATATTATTAGTCAATTATTTCCACAAGCACTGTCCCGCAGTGCAATCTAGTATATACAAGTGTATAACGCGTCTCTGTTGCGCGTAATTATACGATTATTATTATAATATTATGATATAATGTATCTAAAACTGAGCGTACTCTGTTTCTCTCCGTGCAGTCAGTATTACATATTGCCGCAGAAAAGTTTGCAAACGAAGGAATACGAGAAAATGCGGATAAATAAGCGTTGCGGAAACGCCTGCTGCGCATAATCAGAAAATGTAGCACTGGCTCATCCATTCACTCCGTACCTCAAACTCATTCTTCCCCTTTCTCTCTCTCTCTCTCTCTCTCTTTCTCCACCCCTTCCGTTACGTTGTAAATATGTAGGAACGCTTAATCATGTTTCACGAAAGTTCTGCGTCGAAGCATCCTATATCGGTTTGTCACCCGCGAGAACGATGCCATTGTGTAACAATACTTCGATTGTAAACCACCCTACTTGCCAACCACCTCTCGGAAACCAGCTCGCTTCCTCCTCCGAACGCCACGTTCTCGGTACTCACAGGCTGAATACGCCGACGGATAGAACGTATCCATAATGCGACGAGCTTAGCGCGCGCGTGTTAGGATCGTCCCGGTACAACCGGGCAGATTGAGGCTTAGAGCAACGGCAAACAGCATCAATTTGGCATCGCGCCACCACGCACGCTGATGGATACACGATAAATGTGTATGTGAGTGTATCTCTGTGTGTGTGTGTGTGTACACAGGTACATATGGAAATCCTTACGCACACGCACTTTAGATGTTGTATCGCGCAGACCATTTAATTAAGCCGATTCAATGTAAACGAGACTGGGCCACGGTAACGTTCATCGGTAATCATGTGATGTTCGTTAATACCCGCTCATTCCGAGTAATTTTCTATCTCACTTCGATAATAGTTCCATAAAGGCCGGGGTATGCCCCCTGGAATTAGAGAGGCTCATAGCTACAGCAATCGCGTATTGGCTTTGCGACTGTTGACGGGTAAACTTCTACCACGTGCACAGAGAGGCAGGGCGATGAATAAAACATGTGGTTACAGGATACGGTTTACATTCGGCTGTGAAACTAATTGTAACGCGATAGGCCGACAAGCTAATCATTTATAGGACTCACGGGCGTCGAATTTAATGTACATTTTTTTGTTAACCGCGACGTGTATATATATATTTAAAACGAGACGTTGCGCGCTGCTCCTCATAAGAAATAAGAAAGAATTGACCCCGATCCGCGACCAGCCATCTAAGTTTTATGCACGATCATAACTCGAAATCGTCCCGCAGCCTCGAAATGTCTCCTTTTGCCTAAAGATTTACGTGCTCGACGCGCGTTATATACGAATTCGAGCCCCGGTTGGCCGACGCGCCACTTTGCCTGACCGCTCTGACCCTCGTGTCTCTCTTGAACTATTTAATTAAGCTGATTCCCTTCTCCTCCGCACATCCCTCATCCCCGAATTCTCGCATAAGCGAGAATGAACCGGGAGGAACACGAGCGCGAACTCGCGAATTCCATTTGCGCGAGACGATTTCGCGCTATTGTTTCGTCAATACTCATCATCATGATTGTACGGGGGGATGGATAGGCGCGCTGGCAATGAAAATGATCGGTGAAGGTCTGCTTGGGGAATATCGACGGGCGAAATCCGACGTGCAACGTAGCAACGGCAATTCGGCCGCTATCTACGCTCGTCTAGGGACAATGCATCATGCATCCCGTTGCTACAGGTACGCCGGTGAACCTTGCACAGCCAGTACACACCGGGCTGCAGCGCAGTTTGAGCTATGCATTGGCCAATATGTCGTTCATCCCCTAAATCACGACGATTTACAGTTGAGCCTGGTCGCGCTATCGATGCCGGCTCGTATATACGTAATCTACGCTCTTTCGCCTGTCACGGGACTGACGAAATAAAAACTGTTGGGAAAAATTCGTCGAGCGTAACGATTCTAGTCTTCCCTTTGCCGTGACACGTTGCACACCACCGAACAAATTGCTCATATTTTTCCTACCAATCATGCACCAAGAACGGTTCAACGTGTCAGTTTTCTCCGTTGAGTATCCAGTTTTTCGTATTATTAAAGATATAATACGATCACACACACACACACACATAAATGTAGGAGATACATTAATGAATATTTATGAAAGATTTTTTTCTAGATTAATATATGATTCAGTTTTCAAAAGATTCTTATATGTAATAAAACATATAGAAAGAATATATAAAATTATATTTATTATTTTTTGTAATAATTTTTTAGCAGATTACAATTATAATGATTAAGCTTGATAATAATCCGCGAAAACACTTTTGGGGCAAGCCAATATACTAGGGAGTACAATCAGTCACAAAGTGCCGTCATTGTGCGTTTAACAATGCACTTTCAATTCGTGATACAGTTACAAATGCATTGAAATGGCACCGGTATGTCTCGGTTAATACATTTCGCAATTGCCAAAGGTGACTGATACAATGGTAATTAACATACTATACTCAGTCCATTATGTCATGCAGTTTCAATTTTGACGTATGTATTTTTTAATAAATTTAACATTTTATTTTCTTAAATTTATTAGAATAACTTTTAATAGAACAGTATACATATGCGTATAATACATGTAATATATGTGTGTATGTTAGAACAAAATTTATAGATTTAATTTCCCTGTTTTCTCTCAAATTAAACAAAGTTAATTATAATAAAGTATATTAAAATTAAAAATTAAATTAAATTAAAATTTTAATTTGTAGTCTCAAAAAAAGTATAATAGTTAAGTTGACTGATTTCTGACGATCAAAAGAGTTGAAGTAAAAGTTAGAGAGTAAGTTAATTTTTAATTAAAAATTTCATGTATCTTTCAATTCTATATTCAATCAGTATGAAAAACATTCGCTTCATATCATGCTGCGCGCCAGTATTAAACGATTGAAATATTCACCACAACGTGTATTTTAAAAATACCTAGTTCGCACATTCCATACATTGCGCATTTTCGCAGAAAAATCCTAGTACCAGAAACAACAGATCTAAAGTACCTTCGGGAATCAACCCGGTTAAAATTCTCGATGGAGGAACGAGGTAGCTGGTTATTACCGACCGCGAGAGACAAAAGAACGAGTCATGCTGGTAGAAGGCTTACAGGAAGAAGGATTTGATCAATGGTGAATACAAATGTACGAATTAATCGCTGATTGGAAGCAGCTGATCAACTTTAGGCATTTGTCTAGTTACAACATTTGATTAATTCGATATTCTTTTTATGATTTTTCGTTAAACTGATTTGAGAAGTCTTCATTCTTTCTCTCTCTCTAATTCTGTTCAAAGAGCTTAATCCAGTCATGTAATTTACACAAGAGAATTTATATCAAGGTATTGTGCTACTTAAAAAATTTAATATTTTGTTAGTACAATATTTACATACATTTTTTGTATTACTTTTTATAAATAAATATATAAATTTAAAACTGTAAATTATATTAATATTATGTTAATATTATTATTATTAATTTTTTACTATATATTAACACACATATGTATAATAAAACTTATCTTTATCTCAATGTAATTAATATATAATTTAAAAAACAATTTAAAATTAGATATGCATATTATAAAATTGAATAGATAAAATAAAATTATAATCTATATTTAAATACAAATTTATAACGAGATTTTTAATAAAACATATTTTTAAAATAAGCAATATGTTTCTAATTAAACTTGTACACTGGTTACTGGCTGGTTAATCAAGATGTGTAAATATATAAATATTGATTTAAACGAGATATTACGTATCACATAGAATTTACTGTTGCATCATACATACATTTTTTGACAATTCAATCATTTATTGAATTAGATGTAATGTTTTATTTTGTCAATTTTATCTGACTATAGCTTTAGTATGTTAAAGTATGTTTTACGTGTTTTTATAAGATATATTCCTTGTTTGCATTTATTGTCGTTTATCAATAACTCGCACCATTATTATCGAATACATTGCTTTATTATAATTACGAGATATCGGTAATATGCGAAATGAAAATATCGAAAATTGGAATTCTCGTCTGACAACATCTCTGTAATAGCTCTACGTTATATAGTATTTTGACTGATACCTTGCGCGACCTATAAATAAAGTAGTAAAATTATATACCGATACTATTTCATCAGTCTACCCTAAAATGTTATTAAACTATATTATACATCTAGTATTGCTCAACTATTAGCGACCGACACCGTTATTCAGCTCGAATGCGCGAGCTTACTCAAATATTGACGTACATTGTCAGGCTTGAAAAAATGTAATTTAAAAATAGCATGCGCTACGAAAAAAAATATAAAATAATGTCTCCATTTACCTCGATTAATCAAAAACAATCACATGAAGCACAGGATAATCTATAAATTTTCGTATCAGCTGACTGCTAACTCATATTTTCTAGAAAGAGAGTGTAAGGCCGAGATCAAATCTTATGAACAATCCACTTGCGCGCGAATATATAGCACTAGTTTCAGGAGCGGTCATCCAAACTGAGATTCGATTGTGTTCACTCCGCTAGGTTTTCGCCGCATGGAGAATTAATAGAGGTCTCCATTGGCGGCACAGGCGCCATGCCTGGCCGCAGGGCATATTTTCTCGTGCACAGGGGTGCGTGCAAGCCACTCGGCCCGTTTCGAGGTATAGTAAATCAACATTTCACCGTTGTCCCGCGAAATTAAGGAAACCCTTGATCTACGGGCCATCCACGCTCGATTCCTGATGTACGACGTGGCCCGGACTTTTGTATGTCCACCCCCGCATTGTGCTGCTTCAATGGATCTCGCTACCGCGCTCCAGCGCTCGGATTCGTTTCTTTCTTTTTTCTCTCCATCTTTTACCTTCGAAACTGTCAAGGGAATCTATTCATGTCGTCAATCCGCGAATTCGAAATCGTCACGCAAAAAACGTGACACGGAGAACAACTCCTCGAATATATTTAAATCGATCTCACCGATTACATTTTACAGAGAAAAATTATTTTTTCTTTATATGCTATTTTTTAGATTTTTCTAACTCTGTGTTCAATAATCAAATTTTTGTTATTTCGAGATAAAGGCATTTATGGATTATACAAAAAGAAAAATATATATATACAAAATTATGTTTTAGTCACAACATCTGAGACTAAATTTAAAATAAAAGTCTTATATGCTACAGCATATAAAAAGACTTATTGTTAGTCACAAGCAAATTAATACAAACTTATTATTAGCTATTTGATTAAAAAATAATTTATTTTATTGATTTTAATTTATTCCATTAGAAATAAATTTAAATAATCAAATTTATAAATATAAATAAATTTAAATTTAAACGTTGAAATTGATTGGATACATTTATACAAATCATTGTATAAACAAGTTTTTATGCATTATATATATATATATATATATATATATATATATATATGTACTTAGGTATCTATATAATTTTATCAAATTATCTACAATTTTAACGTAAATTATTCAAGTTAATGTAAATCGTATTACATTCATTTGATGTAATTTGTATGTTATTCAAAGTGTAAATAAATATATAAATAAATACATTTAAATTGTAAATATGTCTCACACACACAAAAATACACGTTCATAAAATTATGTACTTATTTTTAAGTCTCAAGCAATTTTTCGAAAAAAAGAATTTTATCTAGTGGAAATATACGAAAGAGTTTTTCTAATATTAAACATAAAATTCATTTCATAAAAAAAAATTGAACGACACGCTGCATGCAAAATTAAATGGCCTTCCCTTATTATTAACTCAACGTATACTTTCTCGCGTACAATCTGCATACACACGTCGTAAACATGCAATACGCGGACACGTGTCACGATTTTAGTAGCCTTATTTTATAACACATTGGAATTTCAACGTGGCAGTATACCACGACCATGATTATGATGGTAATAATAATGATGTTTACACCCCTTGTAGCTATTGTTGCTACTAACATTGATGCAACTGTTCAGTTCTACACTAGGATAGGGAAGCATCATTGTGCCAGTTAGCAGGGGATGTAAAAGAGAAAAAGAAAGGGGAGAGATGAATAAAGCTGCAATAATAAATGATGCTCCATTAGTCGCACTTTATTGAAAATTGTGGGGCACGTTTAAATATCGGACGGTGGGCGAGTCATGACGCGTGACGTCATCATCAAAGATCCTTTAATGCTCACATCTTTTTCATGCTACGCCCTCTTTGCATTCACCCGGGCCATATTTCAACAAACCTTCTCCCTACGAAATCAGATCTTGCCAACTATTTACTGCCGGATCGAATTCGATAGATTTCGTGAAATTTCGTTGAAAGCAAACCGGTTCCAAAACCACTTTCGTGCAAGATCCTTTTCGGTAAAATTATGGGTATTTGGTCTTACTTGATTCACAGAAAAGGTTTCAGTCTTTTTAGTCATTTTGAGCTGTATGAATGCGATGCTCGCTGAAAAATTCAACAGACAAGAAAAATGCATGGATAATTTAATCAACTAAAGAAACCTACAACGCAGATGAAAAGAACTGTGTCAAGCAAAGCATTTTATGGAACTCTGCCTCAACAATATTTATTTCAATGGCAAAAAGAAACCTTATTTATAATTAGACACATCAACGAAATGCTCAAGTATCGAAATATTCATTAAAATTAAGAATATAAAAAAATTGTAAAAACTTTTCTATGTAAATTTACAAATACAAGTTATATTATCTTTAAAAAACAAATATCCACTACAAAATAGTTTGTACAACATGTAATTTTTATTTGTATAGATTTAAAAAGAAAAGGAATCGTAATATACGTATCAAATCAAAAACAAACTCTGTCGATTTTATTTAAAACTTGATCTAAAATTTGAAAAAATATCGAATGGGCTTGGTTAAAATATCATTGATATCTTATTGTTGGAACAATCAAGATCGCAAATCTCGAGAGAGAGAAAAAAAGAGAAAGAGAGGGAGGCAAAATAAACTTTCATCAATTTCCTGTTGATATCTTAATAGCCCCAAGATCCTGACGCGATGCGGTGGTGTCGCCGCTGATTGCGCCGGTCCGGAGGGAAGAAGATGACGAGGATCAGACTAATTCACGAAAATGGGCCACTGTGTATGCCCACCGGAACCTCCCTCCGACCGGCAAGGATAGGCCATCAACCGATTGTAATCAGACCACCCTTCGTCTCTGACGGTCCACTCTCACATTTTACCCTTCTATACTTTCTATACTAAAGGCACTGCTACGCATTCAGAGTAATCGATGCCCCTTGAGTAGAAATCTTCCGGCGGTAACTCGATTTTCGTCTTGATCTATTCCTGAATCCAGTGTCGATGAAACCGTATCGAACTAAAGAAAGAATATGGATGAAAGGGAGAGACAAAACGAATGTCCAGAAAAGAGAAGCATATTTTATCGAGTCGATGTGCGAGGCTGTACCGCAACGCCGCGACTTGCACTCGACTGCACGACCGTATGCAAATCGATAATTTATCCCCCCAAAAGCTTACTTTGCACACCGACGTTTCGTTGCGCCCATCCGACTCTGGCTCTAATCTGTGAAATTGCACAGTTTTTTGCGGGAATAAAAAGCATTTATAATTAAGAGAAATCGTGACGTTTGATGCGGTAGAATAATCGACAAATGCATTTTATACTAATAGAACTTATCTCAAAACGCGCGCTAATAGAATGGCATAATTAGGAACAGAATGGACGAATATCATTTTTATTGTCTCTCTTCGAGAACATCGAAACTTCATATCCATAACTCTCAAAAAGCAATCGCGTTTTCAATCGCATTTCGATCAGCGAGAAATGCAAGCGCGCTTAGTACAAATGTATTAGAGCACTTATAATTCAATCTTGTGGAATAACATTAGCGTACGTTATGTCATACGATGTGTCGGTTTGAAAATTCAATGCGCCACTTCTAAAATGATAAATGTTTGCGTAACGTTATTTAACATAATATTATTCTGTAATCAGACGTCATCACAAATTCTCATTTGCTTTCTCCAATGAATAATGATACTGTTGCATATTATTACACCGTTTTCCAAATAAAACATCTTGTAACACATTTACAATTAATCGTCATTTTCAAAAATTCACTTTTTGCAAACCGCAAATGAAATTGATCGTTCAAAATGTCTATGTGTGACCGAGAGAGTGACTAATAATTATTTATTAATTATTATCTACATCACACATACTCCACAATCTATAACATTTGTTCAAAAACAGCTGCAATTGACAATTATTTATTAATGCTAACCGGTCTCTATATTCATAAGAAATAATTAAATTACAATCGTGTCTCTTCACCAACTCCTATTTTCCATCGAGTTATTTTCAAGTGTCTATCTTAGAGGTCGTATCTTATGTGTATGTATTATGAAAGACCTTCGATTGTCAGAGTAGCGTTCTCGCGCGTAATTCCCGCCATGTTTCATTTTATTTATGCCAGATATTTTAGACCGAATCATGACGTTGTCCATGAAACGAAGGAGTGTTTCATTAATAATTTAATGAAGAAATATTTTCAGAACAGCTAAGCGTGTTACTCGTTTTCAGGTACATCACAATTATGAAAAAAACGAATATTATAAAATGATATTGCATAAATCAGTTGTATATCAAAAGCCGATCTCTTGAATATTTTGTTTCTTTTTTATGACATAGAGATAAATGCAATAATTTTTAAATGAGCGTCATCGGAAAACATTAATCACTTCTTTTATCAAGTTATTGAATTTTTATCTACAGTTTTTGTTAAACCATTGACAGCAAAATTTAATCATAAAGATATATGGAACAGGGAAAATAAAATAAATAATTTACATTTTTGTTCTCCATTCAAATTTACGATATGCTTGTATCTAAAATTAATAATATTCGCAAATATGTTCATCGTTATTCTTCATCCAACTTTTAGCAAAAATTTACCGCATTGTCTATTTTTCCAAATGTATCTAATTGTCTTATGTCATTTTTTGTTTCAGAACACTATCACATATTTGTTGGGGATCTGAGTCCGGAGATCGAGACACATACCTTGAGGGAAGCATTTTCAGCCTTCGGGGAGATTTCGTAAGTCCTCTTAATCTTGCTCATTAAAGACGACTTATCGTTCTACTAGAGTTATATGAGCGATAATATAACGGCATAATGTCACCACTAATTTTCCAAAGACGCAAAATAATTTAGTTTCTGATCTACAAAGATTTTTAACATTAGTCTGTTCTTCTAGATTTGAAACTAAATATATATAATACAATACCCAATAAATATACAATCATTTCCTTAATAAAATTTCATAAACCATATTGAAACGTTTGTATAAAAAAATCATATTTAAGAAAAAGATTTAGTATTCAGCTTGTAGAAAAAATACCCTATTTGAACAATATAAAATATTTTATGTAGGTAAAAAAATGATTTTTTTGCATTTTTAAAATATTATAGAAATATTAATTGATTGATTCTTCAAACATATATCTTACAAAGAACTATAATAGTTATATCACACATACTATTATAAGTTACAATATCGTTTCTAAACTTAATACTTCTGGAAATACAATTGATAAGAAAGCAATAGTGAACCACAGCTTCACCGCATTGGGAAATGTCAATGTTGACGATAAATAGACATAATCAAATCTCTAGAAATTGCAATAGAAGAAGATCCGGAATATTTCGTTTTATCAACCGGCTCTGTAAGTTTATTACACTTTTAACGATCTCGCCTTCTCGTCCTAACTGAGCTGTTTTACGAGTTTCCATCATCGTCCGACGTTTCACGATGCACCGACGCGAACAATAATAACGCATATCTCTGCGATCGTGCGGCAGCTACCACGAGTCCTGCGACCTTGCGCTCCGTTAAACTCGCCGGTCGATAGATGCATGACGATAATATCGCAAGCACCGATACCCTTCGAAGTCGGGTGTCGCTGCGAACTAGAAGTGAAGTCGCGTCAATTTCCGCAGCTTGATCGATTGTATCAATAAGCTAGTAACACTAAGCTTGCAGTTATATAGCAGAAGCTAGCGGTAAAATTGATTTTACGCATCTCTCTACAGACTGCTCTTAACAAATATAATTAGTTTCTTGTGAACTCATTATTGGTGAAATCTTTTTTATTTATTTTTTCGTAAAAAAATGTTAAACAAATCTAAACTATAATAATTGAACATAAAATTTTGAAATCGGAAAAAAAAATTTTTGAGATATATGTAAATATTCAAAATTATTATTTTGACTGTTATTTAAATACAATGAACATAATGAAAAATATAATACTTGATCTACTCCTAATCTAATGTGATAATGCTCTGAAATTTTCAAATAAAGAGAATTACCTTTATTTCTAAAGGCAAATTATATGCCACATATGCCGCGTATACATATTCCAAGGATTCGTGATAGTCTAAGAATAGGTATAATAAGTGGCAGAACTTCGATTTCGCAAAGAAATTACGCGAGCAAAACAAAAGGAACATATTGAGCTTACATTTTGCGAGCATGCGAAGTGTCAGTAAGCCTGCGCTCTACATCGATTGTATCTGCAAACAGTACGCTACGCCCTGTGATTTTACGTGACGAAAGTCAGGGACAGTATCGCGATTTCGCGCCACGATAAAACCGCAAAGTGAACGAAATAAATGCACTCGCAACTATGCGCGGCATTACTTGTACCGTACATACTTCACAGCGAGACATTTATTTCACACCAATATTTCTCTGGGGCGGGTATTTACGTTAACAACAATTTATCATCCCGCGCTTTATCATCTCTCTATATCTCCCGCGGATTAAGAATCTCAATCCGTAAAAATCGTAGAGGTAAAATCGCTCCTTCCGAAGCATAGATCTTCGTATCCGTTTCTCTTGCGGCAAGAAATCTCCATTCGGATTTCGCAGCCTGATTTATTCTTGGCTCATGCAGATGCACCACCTCTACGCCGACGAAACTTCGCGAGAGCATTTGCCGTGGGTATAGAGAGGAAAAAAGGGAAATCGTCGAGCACAAGGTATCGAAATTTCAGATTTCAATCTAAACTCGGCCTTCGAGCGACAACCGTGTTCGGTGGCGAAACAGCTGGAGGAGGTAGGTACAGTTGCGCCGCTTAGTGTACAAGAAGACGGCAGAAAAATGGGCCCCTCTACCCTTTCCACTGGAAAAATCGATTCAAACTCGCTTCACGAGTACCTAAGCCGCGCTTTAAAAAGCTAGTGAAAAATTGCCAGCGGTTTTCCTCTTTTATTTTGTTTTTCCCTAGCCCCCTTCTTCTTCTTCTTCCTCTTCTCTCTACCACACCAATGCTCCTCACGCCTCTTCTATACTCCGTCCAACGCTCCTTTCTCCGATCCCAAGCACGCTCTTCCTCGCCTCAGCTGGTTTATCCCGGAAAGGCCTGCCATGCCTCGTTCCTGATGCGATAAACATTCGTGATTAATTATATCTTTAGTGCGATCCATTCGATCGAGGCTGATACTACACCGCAAGGAATCGTTGTATACCGGACTAAAATATATTACGCGAATAACAAAGAGGCGAGTCTATCTAAATTTGCCTTTGAGATAGCGCCGTTTGACTTTCTATAGTGATAAACGCAGCTTAACGCAGGAAAGCGAGTTATCGCGAATTTATGTCGATATTCCGTGCTAAGCAATTTCACGATTCTTATACATGCCGGTCAGCGTATTTCCCTCAAATATGAATAACGCCATGCTGGCGAATATCGCTTGCCAAGCGTGAAAGGCGGTTTAGCGCTTCTGCTTTTCGGGCAAGCCTTTATGAATATTGTACCATAAATTCTAGTTTATATTATATTATACATACATACACACATATATAGACACATATATATATATACATATTTTTATATATAATCGCGTGTGATCTGTTACCACAAAATGTCATGATGAAACACAATTTCTTTATATTTTAGTGACTTGAGAAGACCACTTATTTTATTTTTAGAAATACTGCATTTATTTTTAGATTATTTATCGTGGGAAAAAAGTCCATTAAAAGAGATGTGACTTTTATATTTCTGAAAAACTTATTCAAATGTATAATTGCAAACTATCGAAAAAAATATACCTACTTATCTTGTTGATAAATTTTCAAAAAGTAAAAAAAATAGTTTTTGCCCAAATATATTAAAACCACCAGAAATTGCATTATAAAAAACAAGATAAATATAATAGATAAGACGATTCTGAAATTTAAAATCTTAAATTAAGAAACAGGATTTTAGGATAATTTTGGAACGTTGAGATGTTTGAAATGTACGCATGCGCCTGCTCTCGTATTAAATATTATAGAAAGCATAATTATATTTAACAAAGGAATTTAATTACAAATTGCTGATTCGTCCGCCATTGACTAGAAATTTTAACAATGCAACTTGAAATTTTAACCATGTAAATTAATTATCGGTCATAATTTGCAAACGACGCAACATTGAAACATAAATCAATACTTTAATTGATGTCATAATTACTGATAGTAATTATAGCAAAATAAATATAGCGAAATAAATATATTTTGAAGAAGATACATTATAAATAAACTATAAACATGCAAGAGAAAATATAAAATATACCTAATGATGACTTTAAATTCTACATTCGTTTAGTTGCTTGATATTTCTATTACATTATTTTCATGTAATAAGATTATAAAGAGTAAAAGAATATTCATTCTTTATAATGGAACTAAGAGTATCTATCGAAACTTAGAGAAAGCTGCTACAATGAGCTACTACAATGGCTACAATAGGAAAGGGATTTCTGGAATGGTACATTCACATGAGTACTACAACTTGCTTCAACCTATGTCTACATTTGCATACAAGCGCATTGCACTTACACCTTGATTACTCTTGGAGATTTGAAGTAGCCACCAGGATCAGAGACAAAATGGCTTCGGATAATACAAACCGAGTACGCTCTATTAAAGGTTTATACAAAATCTTTTACATGCGATTAATTGTTATTTTATTTAATTATTACACCACATACTAATATACAGAATTAAGAAAATAAAATAAAATTAATAAGAGATACGATAAAGGAAATAAGATATAGAAGAAATATTCTATACAAAACATTTGAGCGTAAAATAGAATAAATATAAAGTTGACGTTAATTAAGTATTTTATAAATATCTGATTATATAAACTGCTGCAACACAGTTATACAGATAATTAAACATTTTATTATTCAAACCAATAGAGTTATGTATAAATAAAATAGAAATATTGAAATTTGTATAATAGAAATATAATACGACAACATCTATATATATAAGGCTGGTTATACTCAAAGAAGCGATTCATGCATGTTGCTCTCGGGAGTGCCGCTTATAGTCATGTGTTTTGGGCATTTCGGTACAGCGTTAGGCCGTTAGTGTCACAGCTTGATCTCGGCGGAGAAACCAAAGCTCGCTTTCAGGTTTAAATGGTGGTTAAGTAAGCTGCACGGTCGTCTCGTCCCGACTTAACTGCCCTTCGCCGATACACGTATCGTCTAATATACACATATTCACGCTGAGATGTACAAGCGTGTCGCTATTAAACGTGCGCGCACGATCGCGCATGCAAACGTGGCTAACACGTTTCCAGAGTCCAACGCGCATAGCTTAACTTATGATACACAAAGGTATCGTTATAATCGGGCTCCTGCCATTTCGCACGTCCACCGCCACTATCCAGTTTTAATCCATAGATCTAGAACTCTTGAAGGAAATCTGGCGCGAGAAAGAGAGAGAGAGAGAGAGAGAGAAACATCGACGGAATCTTGGGAAAAGTATAACGAGTAGTGGCTCGACGTGTCCCCGAACAGCGTCGCGCACACATTGCCGTATCCGAGATTTCGTTATTAATATTTAACTACGGCGGAAAGATTAAAAAGTTTTAAGGAATTTTAATATAGCCGTCCCCCGGAGAGTCGTTTCCATGCTGAAACCTGCGCCAGACGTTCTCACACGGATGCTGCTGCATCAGCCACGTGTGCGTGCGACCGCATACACCATGCAAGTGTGTGTATGTATGTGAATGTGTGCGTGTGTATGTGT